CAGGCTATCTAAATAATCCACAGAGGGGGCTGGCGGAGTGGCTCAAGTGGTAGCGTACCTTCAATTCCCAGGACCGCAAAAAAGAACTCACAGACCAAAAAAAGTTCAAAACAGGAAAAACAAATTTACAGTTAGGAAGAGTGTGGGATGCAGAAGAGAATTTTTCCAAGTGCTAGCAGTACTCACTTAGGACTTTGTCTACTTTTATGTTATGATCTGCCTTGGGGAAGATTGTTTTACTTTGATTTTGTGCAGTGATGGAGCCTTTGTGCATGCTAGGCAAAGTGCTCTACCACTGAGCTACAATCCCAGCCCAGGAAAGAGGTTTGGAAATATTTTACGTAAGCTTCAAGATGTATTTTGGGACTATATAATTATCATGGTACTGGAGTCAAGACAATTTTATTTTAACCTTTTCTATCAGACGAAGTTCCCAAAAGCATTTTTTTAAAAAGGAAAAAAGCAAAAGCAATAAAGTCACACCTTAAGAAGTGCTGCAGGAATCTGCATTTTTAAATACATGCCCCAGATGGTCTCACATCTTATAATCTTAAAAGCATGACCTCACACTAACAAAAAAATGAAAAATTAAAACCCAGTAGCTAGAAAAAGAACCTTTTCTTATACGTGGAAGCTTCAACTTGGAAGAAAGTACACGGGTGCATTCTTCAACTTCTTATGTATTTTCCTCCAATACTGTTGACAAATGGTATAAAGCACTTGTGAATTTGTTCCTGTACGCAGAACAGATGAATCTTTCCCATATGAACTCTTTGAACTCTCTCTTCTTTTTTCTGGTGGTAGTGGGGTTTGAACTCAAGATGCCATGCTTGCTAGCCTCATGAATTTTTTTTTTTTGGAGGGACGGGGAGGCAGTACTTAGGTTTGAACTCCCATTTGTTAGGCAGTGCTCTACTGCTGGAGCCACACCTTCAGCCCCAAGCCTCAAGGACTCTTTAAGACCCTCTGCTGGGATTCTCTTCAACTCAGCTATGCACCTAGATCCCTCCAACCACTCCTCCCTGACATTTCTTTCTGCATTTGCTATTGTAACAGGCACAAAGTTAGGACCATTTAGCGAATGCTGCCATTTTACCCAAAAAACAGGTTTGCTCCTTGCTTAATAAAACCATCAAACTAACCCACCCTTTGTATAAGTGACATTGAATTTTGTTAAACTGCTATGTTGTTGATTTTGAACTCCAAATGAGAATATCTATTAACAATACTACTCATCTTCTATAATAACCATGCTTCTGAAATTTTTTCTATATTCTGTTTGGGAATTTGAGGGTAACACATTAAGAACAAAAAAAAGCAGGGCTGGGAGCCTGACTCAAGTGGTAGACCTAAGATATACTTATCTCAGTAAGTGAAGAAACTGAAAGTCTGAGCAACCCAGAGTAGACAAGAAACCAACTACCTCAACAATTGCTCATCACTGAATTTGAGCACTCAGAGAAAGAAGGAAAAAAAATAAATAAAAAAAACCAAAGGATACCATCTACTCTAACAGCTACTCTCATCTTCTAAACACGATACAAAGGTTGCCATTAACAAAAAGAATGGGGGGAGGGGGCCCAAACAACGTATACAAGTAAATGTAAAAACAATAAAATGATTTAAAAAGAAAGTGCCACCATTTCCTTTGTTGTCAAAACTATTGTAAGTTGTAAAAATAAATAAGGAAGAGGGTCACCTACTTCAGGACAAACTATAAGAATGTTGATTTATCACAATTTTGGACTCTCCCTGACCACATCATGACAGCAATTACCTCATGGAAATCTTTTCACCTTTGTGCCTCAATTTCCTCATATGACATACTTCTACAACAGTCTGTGTAACAACACTTTATACAAATACGTTACACGAATACTGTTAGATGGCAGCTAAGAATGTTAAGAACTTACCAGTCTGAAATATATTCAAACTGAATGAACAGCCACTAAATGGTTACTCAGTTTGATTCCGTTCTGATTGGGGAAGAGAAGGACAGGCAGAAGAGCACAGATACTTGACAGGATGGCAGAACAGAGACCTGATACTTTTTTATTTTGTTTTCATTGAGGTGCTGCACATCGAACCCAGGACCTTACACATTCTAAGCAAGTGCTCTATTACTAAATAATCCACATCCTCAGCCCACTGGGACTTGCCACCTCTGAAGTATAAAACAAGTCAGACCAAAAGGAAGAGTTAAACATGTCAAGTTTAAGAGTTAAAGATGTGCTAAGTTCTCTGCTGCTAACTTATACATGTATGTGACCTCTAAAGTTTAAGACAATAAAAACGAGTAGGTGACAGCACTGGCAGTGACTTTAGCCGCCTACCTAGCAAGTGCAAGGCCCTGAGTTCAATCCCCAGTACTGCCCTCACTCCTCACATGAAATAATGCCAACTGGATAAGCATCAACACAATCAGATGTATGTGTAACGGCTAGATTGAAAATTAAGAGACCCGAATCTTAGCCCCAGACCTTTGTTGTCAGGCTAACCTATATAACATACTGACTTTTTCTGGGATTTATCTAAAAATTAGAAAAAGATTATCTCTAAGTTCCCTTCCACTATTTTACAGATACATAGGAATGAATTCCTAAAATGTCACCCAACTGTGTTAGAGGCAAATTGTAAAATATACACATTTAAAAGCAATGACACAGATCTTGAAAGACAACACTGTTTTAGCTCTTGTATAAGACATGGCTTAAAAATATGAAAAATTGGACTGGTGGAGTGGCTCAAGTGGTAGAGCACCTGCCTCACAAGCTTGAGTTCAAGCCCCCATGCCGCCAGAAAAAAAAAAAGTAAAGAAAATTGTGCTCACTTTGGCGCACATAAACTAAAATTGAACAATACAGAGAAGATCAGCACAGCCCTACACAAGGTCACACCCAAATTCATAAAGTGCTTGTAGTGCTTAAAATGTGGGAAATCGGGTAAAATGCATTAAATAAATAAGATCAAGTTTCAGGGGAAAAAAGCCTATCATCACTATCACTGCTATTTAAGATATCATTTTAATATATACTTACCCAAATTCTCAAAATACATGCTACTAATACTTATCTGAGGTTCCAGACAATGTTTCTCCTTTTTTCTTTTCTTTCTTTTTTTTTAAACAGTGATAGGGATTAAACCCAGGGCCTCACACATGCTAGGCAAGCGCTCCAAAACTAATCTATACTCCAGCCCATTATCTTGAATTCTTAAGTAAGGTTAAAAAGAATGGCAAATACATGAAAAGGAACTCTCCCAGCAGCGACCCTTCCCAAAGTCAGCCACTGTGCTCATGTCTGAAGTAGTAAAGCAAAACACTTGCTCTAGTGTGTCCTGAATTTCACCCAGTTTTTTCACACCACTTTAATAAACTACCACCATCTACAGAAGGTGGAAATGACTTCATTCTCAAGCAAAATATTTCTACCTTAGCTTCTAATTGACATGTATTTTAAAATAACAGTGACAGAATGACTTCACTGAAAATTAAAAATCTTTGTGAAATCCTCAGAATGCAAGATTAGTTCTTAAACATCTTTCTTCAAATACTTTTCTTTAAAACAAAGTGTAGAGAACAATTAACTTTTAATAAAAATACATCCAAGGGCAGAGAATCCTATGGGAAGGCCTCCTCTAAACACAAAATAATAAAGTTAACATTCACATTTTGGTTATCTAACACGAAAGGCAGCATAAACAATGAAAAGACAACATGTCAGAAGTTCTGGGTACTGGTTGTTCTATTTATAACCTGACTTTCTCACTTGTAAATAAAGGAAAATTGTATGTGTAAGGTCCCACTTGGATTTTAAGTATCTCAAGAATCTTATGGTTAGTTTTTAGCTGCTTGAAAACAGGAACAAAACCTGATGCGGCCCACCTTCCCACCAGACCATTCTTTGTCAAGCAAAGCTCAAGCCTTGTGTTTCTTTCTTTCTTCCAACCAAAATAACTGAATTAAAATATAAATAAAAGGAGACACATTTAGTGTTTGTGCATCTTCTAATCAGACACTATTAATCATTTCTTTTAAAATTAAATTACCTACCTCACTGGGGTGTTGTGAGGATTAATTCATTAGTGTTTGTAAAGCACTTTGAGATCCTCAGGTCAAAGGCGCTATAGAAGTGCAAAGTAGTAGTATTATTACTAGATTCTTTGCTTATTTAAGGAATTTCACAATCCTTTAAAACCTAACTCTGAGTTATGATTTAGACATTTATTTGTAAAACCCTGCATTTTATCCACATTGCTTTAAACTCTTTGAATGTTATAGACAGGGGCAGATGTTTCAAAACAAACTAATTTTTTTAAGGATAAACCTTGACCTACAAATGGCAGGAGTGAGCAAGGGAAAATCCGGTCTGACAACTTTTGTTTAGCATAAAATATAGATGAGAAATCTTATCAATCAGATTTAGAAGTGTGCCTAAGCTGTAAGAAAAAAAACAAAACTGCATTTTAATCACAGATTCCGTAATGAGAAATTTCTTCAAAATGGAAGGGAAACAATGTCCAATCAACTCACTTTAATTAACAGCTAGCAATGTGCTTAAGATTACATTACATGCATGTCCCTGCAACTGACAGGTAAGCCTCATTTGAATCACAAGTGACAGCACTAGCATGAACTTTAAACTAGCCTCCCACCCTAGTTACATAAGGCAAAGTAGGTACTGACAAGAGGGCAAACCAATTTTGCCTTATAGACTTTTAAGAGAAAACTTGTAATTAAGGTTAAAGGCTTCAAAAACTAGTCAAAATCTTGGATTTTTGAACCACTTCCCACCCCCATCTATATGCAAGTCTTTTTGCAATTAAAATGTTTTTAAATCAAAACAAGACGCACATGTACATTCAAAGCTAAGAGAACAAGAGATAAGCTACACACTGACTATTCTACTTAACAGATTCTTATGAAAAATTCACCATCGTCTGATGAAATTTTCCAGTGCAAGCTCAAACTGGAAATGGGACTTTAAACTTTAAATACTTACCTCCTGCTCTTGCTGAAAGATGACAACTCTACCGCCTTTATCTCCTGTTGCTAGTAATTCTCCAGAATGATTAAATTCTACTGTAGAAATTATATCTGCTGTGTAATTGAAACAAACAGAAATGACGTTAGTTTTTGCTCCCCAACTCACCATAACTTGGTGAGTCAGAAATAAAGTGAATCTAAAGTTCTTTCATGAATACCTCAGCCCACCCCCAAAGAATTTCCTCAGAAACAATTTTAACAAACGGGAAAACAAGTAAAATACCAGTAGTTTATTAATATTTCAATAAATAGGGCTGGAGGCATAGCACAAAAGGTAGGGTGCTTGAAGGCTAAGTTCAAACCCCAGTACCAACAAAACAGAAAAAAATTCTACTAACTTCATGAATGCAAAGAAACCAACAATTTCTGCTGGCAGAGCGGCTCAAATGGGTAAAAGTGCTCGCTCTGAGTTCAAACCCTTGTGCTGCCAAAAATAAACAAACAAATAAAAAATAAATAAAATGGATCTTAAACATTCTATGATAACACAACCAAACAGTAATTATACTGCTAATATTCTTACTTATGTATATTTTGGAGGGAGAGCAGAAAGACAAAACTGGGATCTGAACTTCTAGGCACTAGCTCTATCACTTAATCCACATCCCCAGCCCCTTTTCACTTTAGTTAGGATCAAATCCAGGGCCTCATACATGCTGGGCAAGTGGCCTATCATGAGCTACAATCCATGAGCAAACCCAAAAATGGCCTATAAAATTAAAGCAGATATTTTTAGTATTTGGGAATAATTTTTAACTGTAAAAATAACTGTGGGAGTAATACTGTAGAAATATATTGTATATATGTATAAAACAACACAGGGAAACCCACTGAAACTTAAAAAGGACGGGGGAAGAGGACAGGTGGTTAAGAAAGTAATACGGAGTGAATCTGACCAAACCATATTATGAACCTATTGTAAGCATCACAATGAAACCCCTCCGTACAATTAATTTACACTAATAAAAAATGTCAGCTGTAATTCTAACCACCACAAATCCAAATCATGGCTTCAAAAGTTAGTAAAATGAATCTTAGAATTCTGAACCTTCATAAGGCACTGAGTTAAAAGAAAAACACACACACACTGTTACCCCCAAGGAAGAGCAGGCTGAAACACAGCTGTATCATGAATGCTCCCAGTACTTAGTTAGGAACACTCTTTAGATTCCTTAGGTAACCACGTCGTATTTTAAAGACATACCAAACTAATGTCAATGTATACACAGATATGTCAACCATAATGTGCCAAGCACTGTGCCAAATGAGCATTTATATATGTTCATTTAATTTTTTTGTGGGACTGGGGTTTGAACTCAGGGCGTCACGCTTGTTTCAAGCTTGGAAAGCTGTTTGAGCCATGCCTCTAGTTCTTATTTAATCTTTTTAACACCACTGTAATATAGGTATCATTTCCAATTTGTAGAAGAGGAAAAAGAAGTTCTAAGAGATTAATTTGTAGAGGGCAGGGTGAAAAAAACCACACAAGTATCAAGTGCCAGAGGCAGAATGCAAATTTAGCAGGTGTGGACAAACATATGGACAAGGAAGCAGCACAGAGCTCCATCAATCACAGAAGGATGAATTTAGGAATGATGTACAGTATTGTTTATTGCTTTTTTTCACTACCAAAAGCCCTGTGTCAATAAAATATGGAGAGCCAAACATCAACTTTATTCTACTTAGTAGTGACCACACTACAATCACTGCCTATCTGTCCCTTAATAAAACTAAGTACTTAATTCAGCACCTGCTACATTCAAGATACTGGCTCTAAATTTTGCCTGCCCACCCCCCAAAGACACTTATATGAAAGGGGAACTGTAATCACAATGGATAAATACTCAATAAAGGATTTATTAAATGTCTAAGAAAACAAAAGGAGTATAAGAGGCAAAATCAACAATTATAAGACTAATTCTAAGACATAAAGACAGAACATGCTGCCTCTTTTAAAAAATAAAAATAGGGCTGGGCGCCAGTGGCTCGTACCTATAATCTTAGCTACTTAGGCGGCAAAGATCAGGAAGATTGTAGTTCAAGGCCAGTCAAGGCAAACAGTTCTTGAGAACCTATGTCAAAACAGACCCAACAAAAAACAGGACTGGTAGAGTGGCTCAAGTTGTAGAACACCTGGGTAGCAAGCATTAGGCCCTGAGTTCAAACCCCAGTACCACCAATACATAAAAAATGAAATTGAAAGAATTAGGGCTGGGGAGTACAGCTTGTAGTAGGACATATGCTTAGCATGTACAGGCCCTATGTTCAACATCCAACACCAAAAGGTAAATAAAAATAAAGAAAGAAGGAAATCAACTTGTAGGAATGGCTTCAATGTATCTAACCATCTGCATCTGGTCTGTAGATTCCTGTAGGATCCACTGGATGCTTGACAACCAGGTTGTTATTTTTTCGATATGATTAGGCTTTCAAACGAAAAAACAGAAAAGAAAAATCCCCAACAACCCTCCTCAAAGGCAAAAACATTAGACTCCTAAAATACAGTAAACACTGTTGTAGTAATACCACTGAAAATGCAGCTAAGCTGTCTTGTCAACACAAAGTAGCATAGATCCTAAGGTAATCATGAGGTACACAAAAATTCTATGAAAAACCTGTATTTTTTAAAGTTCTGCATTTTAATTCATATCACAAAAAGGGTCTATGGGTATAGCTCAGTGGCAGCCTAGCACGTGCAAGAGTCTGAGTTTGAACCTCGTGAAAGGAGTAGAGGGGCAGGTGCAGACAGAGCATGTACACTGATGCAAAGTGTACAAACACTTGCTAACTTAAAAGAGCAATTGCTTTTCTTTTTGCTAGTGATGTCGAGGAGTGCCAGGATTCCTGGTGTGTGCTAAGCACATACTTAACCACTGAACTACACCCCCCAGTCCTAACCAGTGTGGTATTTTAATATGCAATAAATTTTCATACTTCAAAGAAAATGCACTATCACAGTGACTGTACTGAATCTTATCTTTTTATAATTTTTTACTTTGCATAACTCTACCAGGTAGTTTCCTCTTTTAGTTGTATTTCAGTAAAAAGCAAAGATTAGCCGGGAGCCAGTGGCTCATGCTACAATCCTAGTTACTCAGGAGGCAGAGATCAAGAGGATCAAGGTTTGAAGTCAGTCCGGGGCAAACAGTTTCTGAAACCCAATCTCAAAAAAACACATCACAAAAAAAGGGCTGGTAGAGTAATTCAAGCGGTAAGAATGCCTGTCTAATAAGCATGAGGCCCTGAATTTAAACCCCAGTATGGCAAAAAAAAAAAAAAAAAGACAACAATTAACTATATAAAAAAGTTCCCAATGAAAATGTGCAATGACCAGTCCTTCTGAAGTGAAAGACAAAACTCAGAGTGAAAATTTAGAATTGGTCTTCTACTTCTGCCCATGAGAGTTAAAAATGTGAATTTATTACCCTACTGTGCATGACAAGAAAACAAAAAACCAGAACATCTGAAACTGTTTTCAGATAGCAGGTCACAGAGTAGAGGACTACAGACCCTTAGAAGAAAAACAAAAAAGGCCCACATGTGCTCAGCTTACCAACTGTAAGAGGTTTCCAGGACATGGGTCTGATGGTCAAAAAAACACAAGAGTTCATACTCTCATTGGATTATGGAGCCAGAAACCATGAGTTCAGGAAAGCTGAAGCAGGTAAAATCGATGGGAAGAGTACAGAGAGAAAGCTAAAGGAAATGAAAGATGGATCTTAGAATCTTTGGCTGAACAGGAATCAGGGCATATGTGGAGTGACACTGGGGCAAAGAAAGAATCACCACAGTTAGGGTTCCTAGTCATAACTAAATAAATACATCAGAGTCCTCAGAAGAGTTCTGCCTTAAGTATCAGCACTGAAGGATCAATCTGTCCTAAACAAAATGTAAACTGACCTCAAGTAAATTAGCCATGTGCTAGAACAAAATCTAACATGCAATAATGTAAACTCACAGTGTCTGACCTACAGTCTAAAATTACTAGGAATGGAATTAAGCAGGAAAATATTATCCCTGACCAGAAGGAAAAACCCACGGAATCAGAACCAGAAATAACAAAAATGACAGATTATGGTCCTGGCAGACAAGGATCTAAAGCAGTTATTTTAAGTATGTTTCATATGTTCATGAGTAAATCATGAACATGACAGAAATGAAAGATAAAAGACCAAAAAAAGGTACGTCAAAAAATGCAAAGTGTATTTACCCAAAGGCTTATTGACAATATTAACTTATCAGATACTGTGGCCAAGAAGATGAAGAACTTGAAGACCGAACAACAGAATGAAAACAAAATGAAGCAGAGAGGGAGACCAAAGAGCTGACCTATAAGATAATATCAAGTGTTCTAATATAAGCATCATTGCAGCCCTGGCTGGGGAGAAAGTGGGGGATACATTTGAAAAAATGAAAAATGATATGTAAATGGTCAAACATGAAGACACTTGACTATGTAAACCAACCAACACCAAGGAGTCAGTTACAAATGCAGCTTTATGCAGGTATGAAGTGATTGCAACTCAAATACCAGTAGCAGTCTTGCACTGGAATGTCACTTTGAAAAATTGAGTAATTCTTTGCAGAATTCCAGTATTTCAAAGTATAATCTTACCTTGATTTACAGTAAGCTTCAATATGCATGTCAAGTGCATGCCCCCGCCCCAAACTCTTGATGTGTAAAACAGATCTGGGCTTTATGCTTAGAAAATAAAGAACTTTTCATCATTCATCATCATCATAAACATTCAGTGGAATATTGTCACAGGGTTCAAAATTGTCCTTACAGTCAGGCTCAAGCCTGTACTCCTAGCTACTTGGGAGGTGGAGAGTAAAAGGATCATGGCTTGAGGCCCGCCCCAGCAAAAAGATTTTAAGACCCATCTCAACCAATGGTGGGCATGGTGGCACACACCTGTCATCCCAGCTATATGGGTAAGCATAAATAGGAGGGCTGTCACAGCATAAAGCAAGACCCTATCTCGAAAATAACCAAAGCAAAAAGGGGTGGCAGAATGGCTCAGTGGGAGAGCGCTTGCCTAGAAAGCGCG